AAGCAGTGGTATCAACGCAGAGTACTGATGTCGAACCTTACATGGATTGAATTGGTGCAAAATCAATGTCCTTTTCACAAGGTTTCAACTTGGCACGCTTCCAATTCTTTCAGTTTTTGAGAACTCAAATTTGGCGCCTGAGTATACATTTCTTTGTAAAATGTCAGAATATAAGGCTAAAAGGCTGCATGAAACGCTGTGAAAAATTGAATGAAGGTAACTTTTCAAATATTTGCGAGATATGTCTCGAAAAGGAAAGTCTGATGGAATTTTTTTTTGAAAGAAGAGCTTAGAAGAACTTTCATTGATTTTGCACCGTATTTTTATGTCTCTTGTGATCATAATAAATTCATCTCTCTTCATAACTCAAATACTCAGTTTTGCTCCTCCCCTTCCCGTCGTCGTCGTTAGTTTTGCACTTATTTTGTGCTTTCATCCAATTATGATAGCTTTATACAAAAAAGAATTGCAATTAGAGGAAGCCTGCAGCTCTGTAACCGGTTGGGTAAGTAGCATGATTGCTTGCAGTGTTATGACACACTCAGCTGGTAAACCTTGTGCTGTTGGGTAAAGTTGAAAGTTTACCCTCAGCGTGCCGCAGCTGTAAATTTCCGAACCTTTCACGACCTTGTTCATGTCTTTTTCATACCAAATAGTCGTTTATGTGAGATATTCGAAGATTCGTGGCCTTGACATTACCGCTTAATTGATCTGGTTTGTAGTTCTGAGTAGCGTAATTTGCAGAGAAAATTCCGAGCTATAGGGGCTAGGCGTTTTGCCTTGGTTTGTTTTCTATCGTTCTTGTTTCCTAAGCCGCTTAGGAGATCCAGTTCAGCCACAGGTTTTTTTCACTTTACTTTTTCCGAGCTGTCTGCTGTCTTGCTTCCGTTTCTCTGAAGGAAATGAGAAATCACGTTAGGCAATTTTATCGTCGTCCACTTCCTACTTTTTTCTTTTGCTTCTGCCAAATCAGCTGTTAGCAGCAAGTGCTTGACTCTTTCGGAGTCAGTCACATTTTAGCCGGTGAATTGGATTTTTGCAAACAACCGGACTTATTCTATTAATCGCTTCCGCCACCGTAAAAAAAGCATCATCCCATATCGAGAAGTGTTTCCAATAGTACAAGCAAAAACGACGATTACTAGTGTATTATTGCGCAACCATCGACGGGGGCCCCGGGGTTCCGGTTTCGAATGAAGCGCCATAGCCGATTTCCGTCCCTCTAATCCACTTATCTTTTTATATTGTACTCTGCCGCTCTAAGCTTGACGACTCGACAATTTCCGACACGAATTTCCCTCCTTTGCTGGGAATTTTCTCCAGAATTTTTCGTTTTTGTGCAGCAAAAACTTTTATGTAGCAAAATAAGCACGGTTATAAAGTGCTCAGTATTTCATTTTTGGGGTGACCATTGCGTTGCTTCATTACCACCTACAGTATGTCACTCAGAAGTCAGCCAGAGCCAGTAGATTCCATACTCTCTTGCATTTTCCACATGTATGTGATAAACTCTGATATCACATATTATCGTCTCTTTTTTTCTGCATAGATCGAGGTAGTGAAGATTATGCGCAATATGCTTCCATGGTGTGTGTTGAGGCATTCACTAATGTGTAAAAGTTGTAAACTTCACTTCAAAACAGACAAAAGTGAAAGAGAGTAAAGAGTAATGATGCAGTAAATTGTATTTCAATTCAAGTCTTTCCAATGTGACTTTCTTGAGAATCATTGTGTCGTCACTGAATCATCACTATAGACTATGCATCGCACGCAAAGACTGGACGCTGCGCAGACGCAGCAGAAATAGAGCGAAAGCGCGTTCAATCTGAGAGGCGCCTACACTGTCCGGAGTGGCGACCTGTCTCTGCGTGTGATGAATCTACTGTAGTAATATAATGGCCTTCAGTTGAGTTCATTTAGGTGTCCGAGTCTTTGAAAGCTATCGGAGTCAATCAACCGAATACCTTACTCACAGCATGTCATCACTACCTATTGCAGAATCCCAAGGTGATTCACTGAAGTTATTTTCATGAAACTTGCTCCCACCTATGCTGATCGCTATTTTGTATTTAGCTCTCAGCATCAAATAAGGCTTTTGTTTTGGAAGCTATCAACAATGTAGTATCGGATACGAAAATTGTCAACGAACTGGATGAACAACTAGTTCTTTTGATCATAAATCTTGCCACGCAGGAAATGACAATGACCAGCAAGGTAAGGTTCTTTCCCACTTCAGTTGCTTTTTTTTTTGCTAGATTCTCTTCTCAAGTAACAACGTGCAGGATGTCGATACAGATTGGGCTGAGGCCGGGAAGGATGTTCTGGTGACCTTGGCAAAAACTCCCCGGTTTGTAACTCATGTCTTAGACGCGGTACTGCAGAAGTTTCCTCCTGGGTTGACTACAAGTCCACACCGGTATGTGGTATTGACTTTGGCCACTATAGCGGAACACAATCGTGAGTCTTGCATTGGTTCGTTTGTTCTTTTATGGGTGACTTCTAGTCGCTTCTTAAGCTTTTGGACTTGTGCCATTCCTTACCGACATCTTATCTCGAACTGTGCCACTACTTAGCCACGTTCGTAACGATGCGTTAAGGTGTGTTTACATATTAAGTTGGCACATAAGACTTGCAACTTGTTCCATAGCTTTTCTGTATTTGCGTTTTTTAACATAATGTAGATTTTATAGTGAGCTACAAATCTGTGCAAACCGTTTTGTTTCTTGTGGCGAGGTGGAAGGATTTTGCGCATTTTACGAAAGCTGGTCAGAAATTTCAGCAGGCTAAAAATAAGAATTATGTCGTTCTCAGCCTGCATCAAACGCATCGAGCCGAAGCTATTCATAGATTGCTACAGTTTTAGCAACCATCTTTGTGCAGTTTCTTCGTAATAGTTTTGATAAACGCTGAGAAAGGCTTTATTTTGGTTTTTGACGTGGTGAACTTTTTGATTTGACCAGCTTTCGCAAATTGAGCAAAATTTCGCCATTTCGCCACCAAAAACAAAACGGGTTGCGCAAGTTCGTAGGCCAGTATCTAGTCTACATCATATAGAAAATGAGAGCGCTACATCCAAAAACAAAAAAGTTATGGAAGAAGCTGCAAAATTTTCGTGCCAACTTATTACTACCTATATCGCACTCAAAAGTTGGCACCTTAAGGTCAGCATGGACACGAGCTATTTGTGCTTTCTGTGAAGCAGTCAGAGAATGCGAAACGGAGCGACCAAAAGAAGCTGTTGAACAAGATCTTGAAGGTGGGATGCTACAAACATCTACTTATTACCTTGTTTATATCTTTCATTAGGGGAGGTATCTTTCTGTTTTTTTACGTGCAGCCAGTTCAAATGTTATGAAGTCGAATTTTGGCTAATGTTTAGCACATTGTGTTGATTCCTTTATAGCTTCACCAAATCATAACAATGAGAGTGACCATGCGTCAGTATTGAGCCGATATACTTACACGGATCAAGCCGAAGCCATCTATGAGGTTGTTTTCAACTGGATGTATAGCAAGGATCCCAAAGTAAGCTCTTGATCATCGAATTCGCTTACCTTCTCAAGCAAAGTGAATGTACGATGATCAAAAGATCGATGTTGCTTTAGACTCGTGCTGAGGCTGGCGAATGTATTGGTGAACTGTGCCTGATGGTTAGACCAGAGAAGGTAGTAGAAGACATCAAAAAACTTGTAAACACAATACTTGGACTGTACAAAAAAGCATATACGGAGCAGCATACTATCACAAAGGTAACGGTTTGTTCGCGCTTTATACCAGCTTACGCATGGTTTTTATTCATTCTAGGCGGTTTGTCGATTCCTTGAAGCCACCTGTGCCAACGAAGCATGTCCGCTTGACCCTTATGTGGAGGATATATTGAATGCACTATTTCCAAATGCATGTCTTGATCCGGATGACACAACAACAACTTTGACTCCTCAGGCTATCAAAAATCACAGCGAAGCTTTCCGATGTTTCCATGTTGCTGGTCAGTGTTCTTACTTTATTCTACATTCTTTTAGTTATCATATATTTTCATCCAGCGTCGCGTTTTGCCGATAAAATTGTGTATTATTTGCTGCATAAGATACAAAGTGTGGTTGATATGCAGAAATTAGGTGCCATAAATATACTACGCCATCTTCTTAATTCGGCAGGTAAGATTAATTTACGTTTCTGAGATCCTTAATTTTGCAGTATCGTAACGATTCATAGGTCAGTATATGGAAGACAAAAAGTCATTGTTGATGATGGGTCTCCGAAAGTTACTTGCTCCGGAAAATGTTACTTCGATAAAGGTTCGTAACTCCGCGTACGTATACATTCTTTGCGAGTGTCTGATGTGAACATCATGAAGGTGAAGCGTGCTATTGTGCAGCTGTGTGTTGCATTATCTGATCATGCCTATGTGGATGCAGAAGGTGGTGATCATGTGATTGCCTTTCTCGTTCGAAATCTAGTCCCACCTACGGAGCAGGAATTACAGGTATGTTGTTAATTCTCGCCTTTCTTTTCATAAACGAATTCTGCATATTTCAGGGTCGCAAAGTTGATGTTGATATAGCAGGCTCTAATCAACTACGAACACAATGCGGTCAAGCTCTAAATACTATTGCGAGCACCTGCATCTGTGCGAATAAGGTAGGGTGGATGCTATTGTTCATTCAGACGACATCTGCAAACATCGATTTCCAGCTACTGTGGCCATATTTATTCGAATTTATCTGCATGGAGCGTTACTTTCCAGTTGTTGGAGACATCTGCAAATGTCTACGAACATTAGTGACAAGAGAAGTTGAGGAAGGAAGAGAACTAGATTTTGAGACTGGATTCGATAACGGTCAGCCTTGATCCGCTATTTAATAACAAGATCCATAAAACAATAAAAATGTGCAAAAATTTAGCTCGAGTTGCTGGTAATCACGCGGTGCTCGCACGTCTTTTCGTTTGTCTATGCAATGCTCCGCTGAACGGTCTTCTTGCGCGACGAGCAAGGTTTGCGAAATCGTCGGGTATCGTTTTGAATACTGAAGTAAATAAATGGGCTCAGAGAAGGCTTTGGTTTGATGCGTGCTCTGAGTTCTTGGTTCAATCCAGCTATGACGGAAGTCTTAGAGCGATGGTCTGAACGGATGGAATCACTGTTAGACGGTAAGCTAAGTCTGTGTGCCCATTACTTCAATGATATAATTTCCTTCTCAGAGGTGTGCAGTGCATCTGTCTCTAGTCCAACTGGAGAGAGTTCGCCGGCAGTGGAATTGCGAGGACGACGGATAGCGAGGTAATTTTCAATTCTCTGCATCACGTAGTGTGATTTTACGATGAAGTACTTTTTCACATATTTGAATCATTCACATCTTTATGAATACCATTTTGGCCATTCTTTAATGTTTCATTTGACATTTCACTTTGAAACGAATCTTTCAGATGGAACGAAGCATGCTTAGAACTGCTTTCTGCTTCCATTGCTGTCGTAGTAGATGGTGAGTGGAGAATGGGTTTGGCCGCGGTTATGGGAAAACAGCTGGATCTGTACAAAGATTATCCCGATGAGAAGGTGAGTCTGAAAGGGGGTGGAGGACATTAGGTCGCCGAATTTGGAAGAGTCCGGCGCGGATTCCCTGCAGGACCGCATGTCCGCGTATGTACAAGGGTGCTTATTTGTCGCAAATGACCGCGGGGACTGCCCTCTTTCGGCGACCTAATGTCCTCCACCCTCTGAAAGGAGCTTTTTGCCATTATTTTTTTTCATTTGTGTGCTCATGGCGTTCCATAAAAGACACGTCGAGAAGTTAGTAATGCAGCGGAAAACAAGAAATGTAAACGAAATCAAACATCATCGTGTCAGTCCGAGTCTAATCCTACTCAGACTAATGTATGATGAAGTGGCTTGCATTGAATGTGTTGTTAGGGTAATAAATATTCTAAAGTAGACACTGAAACTTGTAACTCCGTGGAGACGGGAGCCATACCCCCTCGTTGCCAGCGAATTGATCATCTTTTACATTTCAGGCTTTCTTGCTGCGATGCATAGGTACAACACTATCAAAAATAGCACTGAAATCGTTTGTAGTAGATCATCTCATGCTGATGTTCAAGTAAGCCTTTTGTACGAATTGTATTTGGAAACGGACACTGGCGATTCAGGTCTGCTCAACATCATGTACCTACCGAAAGGCAGGGATGCGCCAGAGGAGTTGGTGCATGCGCAGCATCTCATACCGAGCTTGTTTTAGTAGAGCTGGAAAACGTGTCAAAGTGGGAGCATGCAAAGAGAAGCAGTGGATTTTTCGGTTTCATCAAGGTATCTGGTGCTTTTTATCTTCTCTGTTCAACCCTGCTTATTTTAGGAAGCGATGCCAATCCGACAGTACACAGACACTGAAATGGTTTTGCTACGAGCGACTCTTATGCTCAGCTATGGCTATGTGGTGCAAGCTTGTCCCCTTGACACCATCACGCAGCGACTTCAGCAAACAATCATCGCTTTTCTGCGGCACTATTTTGCCAACTCCAAGGTTATTGTCAAGTCAGCTAGAATTTCTGCTTTTTTCGATCCTGGCTTTTCAGCAGGAAACGGTTGTACGTGAAGCTTTGCTTGAAACTATGCGACTGATAGCCATTGCCGTACACCCTTCAAGACTGCCGGGAGAATATCGCTTTGAAGCTAGAAATGAGCTCATTGGATACATCAAGGTGAGTCTGCATGGAACGCATTATCGGAATGAGTTGAAGGGGGAGGCCAAGAACGATCTATATGGGTTATGAAAGTATGTGAGTAACTTGTTTTTCTTGCAACGTTAATTATTGATTATTTTGTATTTTTATGTAAATTATGATGTCAGGTTTGTTGAACACGCAAGAATTTGAAGATATCTGGATCATTCTTTTTGAGAACATGGGTACGCTGTGCCCCTTGGTCTTCAGTGACTCCCCCCCGCCTCCTCTCTTCCGAGGAAATTCGGATTTTCCATTAGTGATTATGCCTATTTGATTTAGGACTACGTTCAAAGTGAAACTCCCGAGATGCTATCAAGTTCATTGCGACTGCTGGCGGCCAAAGCTGCAGCTGCGCTTGTGTATGTGTACATTTGTGGTACGTTTGCAGCTTCCATCAAATTTCAATTTGCAGCCGATTAGACCCACCCCTATCCGACGATGAAACATGGGAGCTGGGTGTGGTGCTGACGCAATATATCCTACCCATGTGCCGAGAGAAAAGTGGGCTGAAAACGGTGAGTAGCAGATGATTACAGTCTGATGTACATCTAACTCTCTCGCTGCCGACCAGGGGATGCGCAGTGAAGTGTAGTTTTGGTTTCTTACCCCACCAGCTATCCGCCATTACGCACACCTTAACTGTCACGCCTATGATTACTGCTATCGCAGCAGAATCAAAGCTTTGCTTGTTCACCTTCACTGCCCTCTCATTTTAGTTGGCCTATGATTTGTTCGACTACGCGTCAACGTCGATCTCCTCATTTACGTCGTCAAGTAACCGTGTTGGCATGAAAAAGGTATGCTTCCTGGCTTTTATTGCTTATTGTGGGGTTGCACGCTAACTTTAGAGTGGAAATGAGTGCATCTCATCTTTTGTTTGCTCTTTTTCTTCAATGTTTCTATTTGTTAGAGACCTGAAGAAAGTTTGCGTTTTTTGATTCATCAATAATCATAACGACTTAGTGGCTCATAGAGGTTTATCTAGATGTCCTCTCATAACCTGTTTCTTCTTTGTGGTAAAAATTGGTGCAGTTTTCATTGTATCGCTGAACGAAGCTGATGTCCCATATCCTAGTTTTGTTGTTCTCCGGAGTCTGCGCGGGAAATTGTACAGCATTCTAGGGAACACGACATTGTAGAATTTTCGCTGTGCTTATTTTGGGAAGGTAGCAGTGTTTGTTTGTAGATTATTCTATGACAGTAGCCTTAGATGATCTTGGTGTACAAGATTTCGCTGTATTTCTTTTACAGGGCAAACTATCTCACTACATCGAATTATATTACTCGTGACAGGCATAGTCACTAGTTGTCATCCTTGATCACTTGCAAAACTCTTGCCTTTTACTTAGTTTTTCTTTTACTTGCGGAGCTTTGTCAAAGCACACTATGCCTGTAATACTTTCCTTGTTATAAGTGTTGCAAATTCGCTTTTCTCAGGCTTCGCTATGTTTCGCATTGTGAAATTTTTTTGCGTACTCCGAATGTCTAGATCGATGATGACGAATCTGCAACAATTATGGATGCAACTGTGGCACAATATGGTAATGCGTTGGAAGCAATGATAGAGATGCGGCCAAATGTCGGGACCGTAACGCTTCTCTTGAAGGTGATTTTGATATGAAATATGATACAGTGATCAAAATGTTCTTACCTCTAGATGCTGCAACCCTATTACGGCAAGTTGGCTGAACATGAACGTAGCAGGTCTATAGATGCGACCGTGCAAGTGCTTCGAGTTTACCTTGATAAAGCTGAGGATATAACCATTGGGGTATAATTTACATTTTTGTAGTAGTGTTCGTTCTCTCATCCGTATTTGCACTTAGGTGGCTAGCTACTTTGGACCACTGTCGTCATTGTTGGCTCGGCTTTCTCCTCGTTTAGTGGATTCGTTGGCTCTCGTTCGCCATCAGGCGCTTGCAGCTATACACTTTGCATTCCGCCTCGCAAATGCTTTTAAGGTAGTCGGTAATTTCGATGAACTTTCGCTTGTTTACTGGTAAAGCGTGTGGTTCCTCGCCTGTGAAGTTCTGTTTAGGGGCATGGCACTCATACAGACTCTAGTCTCTTCCAAATCGACGAGTTTAGCAAAGAATACCTGGGCAATGAAGGCCGGTTAGACACCCATGACGCAAAGAAGGCTATTCGGAAGATGGCAGAGGTAAGTTACTTTGGGTTAGCTACAATACCAAGTGCTCATTTGTTCAGGTAATTGAGTCACGACTCCCACAGTGCCAGATACAGACGTACCTATCGGCACTTTTCGAGATGCTAACAGATCGTCAAAGCCAGGTAATGCAATTTAATAGTTGTATTTATTTTCAATCTTCATCATTTACACATAACCCGTGAGATCCATCTAAATAAAGACATGTGGAAGCCCTAAGAAAGTTGTACAGTCTGTCCGAATCGAGTTCGGACAGACTGTACAACAGGCCGGACCGTAACCGTAGATCGCTAGGCATTTGCACTGCATATGCGCCCTGTGGGAGGCGAAGAGAGAGCATGCAAGCTAGCTGTAGACGTATGGACTTCCGTCATGCCATTTTGGCTTGATTGGGAATGGGACAGATTGCACACATGCGCTCTACTTCTTTTCACTGGTCCTTGTTACATAGAATTTATGTTATGAGAAGAACTCAGCAATTCAGGTATCTTCGGCAGCGGCTCAACTCCTCACTCATTCATTGACATGTCGTGGAGATACGCTACTCAATGAGGTTTTACCACCTTTTTTCCTCACCTTTTTGTATAATTTAGAAATTTTTATAATTACAGGCTGACACTCTGGTTACCACTATACTTGCCAGATTACCCGAGGTCCATTCGTGTGTGCAAACATATACGGATCTGCTGACAGCTTTGGTCGCCTTTGCTGCTCATCAACAAACAGTAGTGTGCGATGTCATGCTAAGGCAACCACTGCCATACTCAGTGTAAGATTGCGATCAGCACCTTATCATGTTTTCTAACAAATATCCCATCTCAGACAGCTGCTGGATGCATGGGAATGTGTTTCGCGAGAGCGTTCACTGTTTACACCCATTCTGGATTACCTTTTGGAACTGTTGACAGGCGCATTGGAACAGCCGCACGACATAATGGATACTGGAGGAGGAAGCTCGGTGAAGATCGTACATGTGGAGCCTTGTCAATATACGGCTGGCATTACCGAAGTCATCAAGGTCGGTTTCTTATGCAACTTTGCCGTTCCCGATGTGGGCTCTCCTTGGCTTCTGCGAACGTATTTTTCGCATAAAAGCTTCATAAAGATCTGCGTTGGAATCGTTCAGAGCAAGTTTCTCGGACTAGGTTCCTGCGCTCTTGAAATTCCTCTGAATTGTTTCGCATTATCTTCTTTCGCATTCTCAAGAGCGGCTCCTTTTTTTACCTTTCTGTAACTCAGTCCCTTGTTACCGCGCTGTGAGAGCAAGTGAATATACTCCATTCAGCTCTGTCTGGTGCTTATGGCGCAAACTTGGCCGTGGGACTATCATTTCCGCATTGCTACCATTTATTTCCATTCATTTCTACTAATAAGTAGGAAAAAGTTTCGCCCTTTTTCAGACCACTGAACCAGACTGGTCTTTGAATGACAGAGTCCCAACTTTACTTGCTGCATTGTTTCACATGATCTGCAGCGTCTCTGACACGCAGTTTCCTGTCGTGGTTAAGGAGAACAAGGATGGTAAGGTATCTAAATTTTCGAGAACTTCTGACTGAGCGATCATTTCAGGAACTAAACAACCTTTGATTATTACGCCGGAGCTGAGAAGATCCGCTGAAAAGCCGGCTGGTTTGGCTGTCGCAGCACTGAAAATCTTGTTTTCCAAGTAAGCGACAGGTTCAATTGCTCATTTCCTGAAGTGCTAGTTCTTTTTTCAGAACCCATACACCGGAGGTGATTGAGGATATGAATCAAGCCCGAGGATGGACTGAGTGTCTCGATCGTGATATGTTCATTGACGCTGTGAGTTTTGCATTTATTTATCACTCTTGCTTATTTCCGTTGAGTCCCAGATAACTGTGCTAGTGCGGTCACTGGTTGAGCATCGCCCTGATTGGATAGGTGCGTTGGCCAGTGCAGTAATGGATAAAGCAGACAGTGAACGTGAACCCATTCGACTTGCCGCTGTCATAGTAGCGTCAGCTTTGATACGAAAGTGCGTATTGATGGTAACTTGAGATTGTAGAAGGACTTGTATGTTTTTTCTTCAGGTGTCCAGATTCTAATGGAGACTTCAATGAGAAATTGTTGATTGATTGTGTGCGGCTGTTGGAGAACTCTTTGAGCGATCAAAGCCTGCGGATTCGCAAGGTGTGCCCTTACTCTTTCTATAGAAGTGCTCATTACAGATTTTTGAATCACAAGATAAAGTATACGCTTTTACTTTCACACTATGAGTAAGGTTTCATAAAGTCAATTACGAACATAATTGGCATTGCGGAAAGGCGCGCAGTCGGTAGTTTTTTATTGGCTCAGAGGGGGAAATATACACTTTTTTGCATTTCGTTCTTGAATGATCTTATACCTATCTTGAACCTAAAATTTAGCCAACTACGAATGGTACCTTCTATAGGAGTGGCTGTTCCCAGGCAGCTCGTTATTGTCTTGCTCAGTTTGCCTTCCCCATGTTTTTGCGATTGATACCGCTGCTGTTGAGATTGCCTGAAAAAACTATAAATTACTCAATCTTATATGCTCACATTTTCAGCTTTGTGTTCGTGGATTGGGTGAATTGTCAGAATGTTCCTCTAGTGCTGTTGCTGATAGATTTGCAAGCATGGCTGTGGAAGCTGCTATGGGAGGATTAGACGACTTGGGAGACAGACACGACATGGTTCCTGAAATTTTTAGTTTTTGTTGTATTATGTTGCTGGACATATTTCCGGCACTTTTAGAATGGCATTTGATATGATTTTCTATATTTTAGGTGGCAATGGAGTCGATACTATCGCTGAATAAGCTTGTTTCTAAAACAAACGATTCGCAGCTACATTCTATACTTCGACCAGTACTGCTGAAAATTCGACCTTGTTTTGAAAAGGTAATTTTTTTGTTTTTACTGCAGATGCTCGTGACATGGAAATTTTTTAGGAGTCTGCGGCATTGCGGGCAGCATCTTTCAGTCTCTTTGGTGAATTGGGCGCGAGAGTTGGAAGCGACGAGGAGTTTATGGGTCACCTACATGCCAATATAGTGGCTATCTTACTCCACCTCAATGACGAAAACGAGGACGTCCGGAAAGTTCGTTTCTAGTGCAATTATCCAATCACTTTAGAGTAAGTCAAAAAGATCTGCGTATTTAGGCCTGCAGTATGACTCTCAATCGAATCCATCCTTTGCTTGGAGTGGGCACATTTTCATCTATAGTCGAACGTGAGATGAAGGGAGGACGCCAGCCTTATAGTTATCCAGCGGTTCAACGCGATCTTGCTAGTGTTTTGGTCCGTTTTCTTCTAGCTTTCTTGCTTTGTCAAGATGTTCTCGTCAAATCTCAAACGTTTAGGCATTATCGTTTCCCGATCGTGTAAATCAGTATGCGCTAACGTGCAGTAATTACTACAAAAGCTCGAATGCGCGTATTCGAGCAAATGCTGCACTTCTGACCGGCCATATGTTGGGAGTGCTTACCCCACAACTCCGGGCTACCATTAGCAAGGACCTCATCTTTTCTAGTACGTTTAAAATATTTTGTTTTTTTCTCCTTGTGGAGATTTTTATAAAACTCTTCCAAGCTCACTGAAACATGATTTACTGAATTTTTTTACTTGTTGTAACATTTCTCTAGGTTTAGCCATGTGTCTTCTTCTATTCCACGCTTGCAAATACCACGACTTCCCAGTCTATAGCTTTGATATTTAACTGTTGCGTTTAGGTCTTGTTCTGCTTCTGAAAGATCCAGAAGATGTAAGCGTGCGACTTGCAGCAGCGAAAGCAGTCGGCAGTCTACATCATTTTTCATAGGAGTAGAGTTGCTCTTCTGAGACATTGTTCATGTGCAAATGGCGATTGCTCAGTTGGACCTCTATCGATCTTTGAGAGAAGCATATCATTGTTCTCTAGAGTTTCTTACACATGTTGAGATTAGAGTATTATGTTAATGACCCCGTATAGTCGATTTTGTTAGGGTATCGGAATGCGTCAGATTTCTATTGGCTTACAAGTTTGCACACTTTCAGTTTGCATATTTTTCGTAGCATTCATGGCGTTTTGCACTTAGATAGTATACTTGGTATTTTGTGCATATTTTTTTTTTCAAATCGCTTATTATTCTATCGCTAAAATGGACCTTCACATTATCGTATGTTTCATTATCTTTATGCACTTTTTTTGGAGAGAATACGTAGATTGCGCAGTTCCATAAATGCACGTGTTTCTAGTTTGTAATTCTCACAGATTCGCTTTAACTTTTCAAAGCCCGTGAGTGCCAGCTTGTGATTACATTTTTGCAATCCCGAGATCAATATTGTGCTCTTCAGCTTGTTTTTGTTGTGCTCTCTAACCTGTTATCATCCCCTTTTCCCTTTCTTGGTAAGCTGACCTCTGTGATTACTGACGCAAGCATGGTGGAAGATGTAATGTTGACAGGTCATCTTTGCTCCTTTTTTCTTTTTCAATCTGTTTGTACATTTTCTCGTTCTCATAACGCATTCACTGAGATAGGTTGTTCTATTTGCCTTCCTTTTTCGAACTTCTTGTCGTATTCTGTGATCATGGCACATTTGCCAGCATGGTGAACACAATTGGTTCATTGTTAGTATTTCTGGGTATTATTAACATTTGTAAATGAAATTGCTACTTGCGATTTTTCCACATTGTATGTGAAGGGATTCAAGTCCCTTTCAGCACTGTATGTGTAGTGCTGACTGTTCCAGGAAGGAGGAAGGGGGCAACAATTTTTTAGAGGGGCGTGGCATAGGCTAGGTACCAAGGTTTTCTCCGAAAAATCTGTCAGACAAGCGTCAGTGGAAGTCGTTCTATTTTTACTCTTGAGATGATAGAGGATGTCTCCACTTTTGAGCTTGATAAACTTTTTTCACTGAGTGGAAAAGTAAGAAAATAATTGGAACCAGCTGAGATTTGATATGTTAGATGAAGAAACTATCTCATATAATAAAGGGATTAGGTCGTTTCTAAAATTGATCACTGAAACCCGGAATTTCAAATGGTGAAGATTGAAATAACCTATTAGGGTGTCTCATAATTTTTTACCTTTTTTACTGCAACCGCCGTATTTTCGTACCTTTCCTTCATCTGGTGTGGCTTAAATCATTCAACAAGGCAAAGCAAGCTCTACAAGATGGCTATCAAAAGTCTGCTCAAATCATATCCCATGTGAAGTTTTGAGCTGAAATCTAAAAGCAGTCGAAAACGAATTTTTCTGTCAAAAATCGTATCTCCGCTCCAAAGTACCTAAAAAATTCCCCATTCATTCCAGCATATGCTTGACACATCGCACATTCGACTGCACACTTTCCTAATTTTTCCATGGCTAGAAATAAAGAAAAAAAAATGAATGAGGCAAAATGGCAAACTCCGCCCCTAGACGTCCTGAGCTCCTCCCACGCATGTGATCATATAGCTCATACATATAGAAGTACGACTTCGGATTTTTTGTAGGTGCCCCAGTTCTCGAGAAATGCTGGTGTTTAGGGTAAAAACGGTAAAAAATTATGAGACAGCCTAATAAAATCGAAGCATTCCTAAAGCTCGTGGATGGAAGTGGTAGCCAATGGACATCAGGAATTTCAAAGGATGCTTGCGAGACATCAGAATCAGAATTTGGAAGGTACGCTTGCTGTTTTGGACAGCAGAAGAAGTAGATCCATAGGAGGTTTCCGAGAGTCAAACATTTGATAAGGTCTGCCACTCCTCTGCTCAGTAAACAACGACATTTCGAGTCCCAGAAATCCTAAGTGTAAATTATGTGATGCGGCAAGGTTGTGCTTTAAAAGAATAAAATTTGATTTATCAGAAGTCATTGACCGATCCGAGAACATCGCGGAAGCCGCGTTCTGCGAGAAAATCGGATTTTAAATTTCAGCGATGCATAGTTCTCAAAGGCAGCGTCCAGGCAAGTCTAAACATATGGGGATCTCACGTGGATAGTAATTTTGGGGCCCTGACTAAGGCACTGCCTAACCGGCAGCGCAAGTAGTGCTCTAAGGCCTCGAACAAAGTTCACGCGATTTGATCGTTGCGATTTAGCCGCGATTCAATCGCTGCGATATCCATTCTTCATTTTACGTTCAAAAAATTCGAGCTGGAAAAGTATCACAACCGAAATGCAAGCTAATTGGCATGCAATGAACTCGTAACAGTTGTCTTGTAGCGATTGCATCGCGACGATCAAATCGCGTGAACTCTGTCCGAGGCCTGATAGGTTGAGATATTTCGTTCGAAAATGGACCCCAGGATCGTATTATCCTAAAATCTTACAGATAAGTCCGCTTTTTTGACAAGAAAAATCGATGAAAATGCGCTTTTGCACCGCCAAAAACCTTGCAGATAAGTCCTTCCATCAGATAAGTCCGCCTACAGATAAGTCCGGACTTATCTGACAGGATTTCAGGGTAAAAGAAAGCGGATATTTGAAGGCGGACTTATCTGAAGGGACTTAATCGAGTCAAAAAATCTGACGGCGGACTTATCTGTAGACTGACTTATCTGATGGGAGGACTTGTCTGTGAGATTTTAGCTACGCATAGATTCATGATGCGTCGAATCAGTTTCGCGTGGGGGGAACGATACTACCGGCTCCACCATTTATTTATATTGTTATTTTATATTTACGTCTTACGTCGTTTACCGATTCTGATGCCATGATGTCTCCTTCTAGTGTTTCTATCAATTTTTACTCAACGCTTCACACAACTCCTAATTTTTCGCAGTAAGGAAATCTTTACTTATTAGATCAGGCGGAACAGGATTCAAGAGCTCGTACGAACGTCATCGTTGACTAAATTTTCGACCAAGTGGAAGGTATTGATATGTTGAACATAGCAAACTATAGCAAGGGTATTGTCTTTCAAAACTTTCAACTAGCACACCACCTGTCTCTATTGTTCAGATGAAGATTTGGATGATTTGGTGGAAACCAATTCTCGCTGACGATAGTGGAGTCGTTAGAATTGTTTATTGAGACGAACCCGGTGTTGAACCGGAGGGAGCAACCTATAAAACAATCGGGGGGCTCCTATATAGCTAGCAAGGCGGAGCTGACCGTGCAGAATCAGACTGTCCAGGAAATATATGGAGGAATGAGGATGCCGCGGCTCGGGCGGCCCCTAGAAGATAGGTGCCACTCACTGGTGAGTGATTCGACACTTAAATATAAGCGGTTGGTGAATGTAGCCTGTGGGGAATACGTAAGCTATTAGGATTGTAGAATTGTTGAGGTTGATGATACATAAATCATCAACACTCCGGGCGAGCAAGGAGGAGGCGAAAGACGAAATATCAATAAGCTGACATGCAACAATGACTCTATAAAGTTACCGAGACGATCTAAATGTAGAAGTGGGCGTGAGTACAATTTACAAGATTAGGAGTTAGCAAGGTTGATGATACATAAATCATCAACACTCAGGGCGAGCAAGGATAAAGTGTGTGATAAACAGAAACATGGCCAATGCATATGCGAAAGGTAGACCTAGTAAGAACACGAGGTGTTCTACTGCTTGACCGTTCTGTGATGTAGCTTCCGTCCACGTCTTTTCCTCCTCATCGAAATTGTTCCCGTGCATTTTGAATCATCAGAATCGCTAGCAATGATTGTCTCCTTGACAGCCGACGCTCTCGTTATTAAATGTGCGCGATTCTTGAGTTTCGGCATGTCCATCATCTTTTTCTTAGTTTGTGTCGTCGGTTGAAGTGTTGTAGCAAGAGTTCTATTCGCACTCCTCGTGTTGGAGGTGGAAATGGAAGAGCCTGATATGCAGCGAACTTCGGCCAGCCAGCGTTGTCTGTCTGCCTTAGCTTCGCGGTAGCAGCTGTCCGGCTTTTCCTCTTTTTCGGAAACAACTTCGTTGTCTTTTGAGATTTTATTTCAGCATGCGTTCGGAAGATTCTCCTGTTGACTGCACGTGTACTTCTTTCGTTGAAATTGGTGCCCGTTTTCTTTGTCGTTAGCCATTTGTTGTGTTGTTGAGGGTGAGGGGCAGATTTGGAATGTTTCTGCATCGTTGATATACAACCAAAGGTTCGACGAGCTCTGTGCTCACGTTGGTACGGCTTGTACCGGATATGACATATCCAAAGATGGTTGGGGTTAACATGAGCCCTGAGGGAAGCTTGAGCACTGTTTCGGTGTGAACAGTGACGAAGTTAAGAAGATCTTGTCCAATAAGGAGATCGGGTGAGACGCTGTTATGGGTGAGCGTATCTTGAGCTATCGTCAAGTTTCTGGTGGAAATGAAGCGGACATCTGCATCTGTGAGATGTGCTGTATGTAGGTTGGCAGTCAACTTCTCTTTCGTGTGCACTGATATCTTCTTCAGCTTCTTTGCGTGTGAAGGTTTTTCAAAGTAATTTGTACTTCGCTGGAACTGAATGTCTCTTTCAATTCTAATTCCTGATGCGGTGAATGACGTCGTTTGAGTGACTGGCAGCTTAAGCTCTTTACTGAGTTTTGACTTGATGAAGCTTGCTGGGCGCCAGAGTCAATCAGTATTGTTATAGGTTGATAATCCCAATCTGCCTCGTTGAATATCATTGCTGAAGCCGTTTGAAGTACACCTTGGCACATGAGTGGCAGTTGGCTTGAGCTGTATATAGACTTCTTGTCCATTTAGCTGAGTTTGTGCAACGTGTACTTCACTTGCTTCGCGATTATCGAAGTTGGTTCTTTGCAGTATCTTGGAGACTTGCAAATGATGATTGTAGCTAGTAGGAAATTGAGACTGCTTGAGATATCTTTTCTCCTCTTCCCATTTCGGACCGTCATGACTTGTGTCCTGATGTTGCTTGTTTGAAGGGTACTCGAAATGAGTGTCTCCATCGTTGACGCAGTCGTTTCCCGCAGAGGGATGATGTCGTCGATCGTGTCTAGGATCCTAGAAACATCGAATTGATCTCCACTTGCGGCTTCCTTCTGTATGACGGTTGCGCAGATGTCTTCAGGAAATTTGGACAGAATCATTCTGCGCCAAATTCTGTCTGCGCTCATCTTCATTCCAGTTTGTTTCAAGTGGATGATCCGTGAATTAATTGCTTCAAACGTTTCTCGGCAACTTTCGGGACTGTAATTTGCTCATTGAAGTCGTTCGATTTCGTTGATGAGTATGTCTGCCATGTTGGCAGAGCGATCGGAGTGCTTCTTTAGAATGTTGACGGCTGTCTGATACTTGTCTCCGACAACAGGGATGCAGTTCAAAGCAGCAGCTGCTTTTCCTTTGAGCGCTTGCTTTAGAAAAAGGAATTTGTCGCCATCCGATAAGTCTTCGTCGCAGTGAATACGTGAATCGAACACTGTCCAAAAACTGCTGAACTCTCTGAAGTGCCAGAGAATGTAGGAACCTCTAGGAGCGGATTCCGGATCCTGATCTGGCGTTCACTTCGTTCCGTTGTTGAGCCTCTTTCTATCTCGCTCTCTGGCTGACTCGGAATACTAGGAGCAGGCGTATGCAAAAGTGTCATTTGCTCCCTCAGTTCATGTTGTCTGAACTGTATTCTGTTTTGCCATTGAACTGCTATCACTTCCAGGTCGAGTGCTTCCAGCTCCAAATGCTTGCTAAGTTCAACCATCAGCTTCTCTCGTTCCTTTTCTTCACTGCGTGCACTGATGTACTCAATGGCAGCGTTGAGCTGTGTTTCTTGCAAATTCACAGCGTTTTGCAAAGAATTGAGGAGATTTATTAGTACTCCTGCCTTTTCTTTGATATATTCTTCACATTCCGCTTTTGTGGTTGGAAATGTGAAGGGAACGTCTACGTCCACTTCGGACTCGCAGGATTTTACGAGCTTGCAAGCGTTGTTGATTTTGTGTTTGAAGAGTTGAAGAGCGGCCATTTTTGCTATGCCGACTTCTTTTCTTCTCTTCCTTTGGAAGCTGGTTGCTTCGAAGGTACAAGTTAGCGAGGTTTCGTTAACTTGTAGACGTATCTTCTGGTGATCCGTCGAGTAGAGGCAGCTGTGGTGCTGATCTCTGAGTTGCAAGCGTGCCGGGGTGGCTTGAACACTGTGCTGACTGGTAAGGTGGCTTGGACCTTGACCAGATAAGGATTGGGTTTCAATCCTCTTAGTCAAGAGTTCTTGGTCGAACTCTGACTTTTTTGGCAAAATGAGCGCTTGTGACTTAAGTTACCTTCCTTTCAAATCTCAATGTACTGATCTCCCGTCCTTGGATAGGATTTGCGAGAGATCAATGAGATTGACTGGAAATTTGCACCCACAAAATTTTGTTCCGCTCTCTGGATCACTTACGAAAAGGATTCACAGAAAGTTTCACGGTCTTATGTGGTTATGTGCTGCACTCACAAAATTTGTTCCACTCTCTGGATCGCTTACGGAAAGGATACACAGAAAGTTTCACGTATTAATGTGATTATGTGCTCCACTTGACTACTCTTTCACTTTCTGGATCACTTACGAAAAGGATGCACAGAAAGTTTCCAAATTGTCTGTGGTTGTGTGGTAACATTGATTCTTTCCCACTCTCTGGTTCGCTTACGAAAAGGATGCACAGAGAGTTTTCAAGAACAGTTCACACGACCGACTGATTTCTCCTACACCTCTCTGGATCATTTACGAAAAGGATGCACAGAGATTTTCAGATAGTCAGTGGTATTCCTTCCAATTTCTCTTACACCTCTTTGGATCGCTTACGAAAAGGATACACGAAGATTTTCAGATAGTCGGTTGGTTCTTCTTCCTGCCACGCGGGTCTTGTGGCCTCGATTCTTCCGGTGCAGATGGAATACGAGGTGGTTTCACTGGTCGATGCACCAATTTGGTGGGAACCAAATGTCGTAGGCGATAGTAGTGTCGATAATAGATTTATCCACAGACGAACCCCGGTGTTGAACCGGGGGAGCAACCTATAATACAATCGGGGGCTCTTATATAGGTAGTAAGGCGGAGCTGACCCGTGCAGAATCAGACGGTCCAGGAATATGCAAGAAAGAGGATGCCGCGGCTTGGCGCGGCCCCTGGAAGATAGGTGCCACTCACTGGTGAGTGATTCGGCACTTAAATATAAGCGGTTGGGGAATGTAGCCTGTGGGGAATACCCGTAAGCTATTAGGATTGTAGAATTGTTGAGGTTGATGATACATAAATCATCAACAGATGAGGAGGAAGAGGGCGTTAGCTAGGAGCTTCCAGTCGACCGAAGTTCTGAAGGATCTGCATTAACGAAGTGCAGAAGTTGCTTACTTGGAAGAAACTTACTAGTGTAAGTTATAGCATTTTGCTCAGGGACATTCAAACGTTTCGATTTTGATATCATTACTTGCGCGTAGTATGTCGAATGTGCTTGCATCTACACGTTCATCAACGTTTTTGCTATGATAGACACTTCAGATAAGGATTATGATGTTATTATTCCTCTAAATTGCTTCCGAACATCTCATCAAACTGATATCCTGGGACGGAATATGCGCGATGTTGTCAGCTCGGGTGGGACGCGCCTGTTGGTTCCCATTATTACACAAGAGATGTATCGTGGTGTCTTTAGTTCACTCTAGTACACGCGACCTGCCTTGCAAGAAGGTGAGGAGGATGACAGCCCTCAGCGAATTCATTGACGAACGGCTGATACGTAGGGCAAACGCGGCGTGCACCATAATGATGATCATGACATGTCATAAGATGCCAAAGTAGGTACTGTTTGTACGAACCACTCATTAGGTTTAACATCTCATGAAGTATTTCAGGTTTGCATAAAGGACGTTATCGAGCGATCTTTCAGTCTTTGCACGCACTACCTAAGGAGTGTTGTCTTTCCCGTTTCGGATCCTATGTATAGGCCCGGTGAAAAACTTCAAGGTGCTACGTAAATTTCATGAAACAGGCATTATTGGATGAGAG